AATTAACCTTCTGCGTACAGAGCTTCCTCTGTCAACCCGTGCCAAAGTCAATACTGAGGGCCAGGACATAACCAACCCAAATCAGCATTTTGGCAAAGCTTCTATCTATTTAGTGGTAAAGGCTTCTGGGAGAACTCTATTTGAGTCACCAATTAAAAGACAAACAATTTAGTTTTATGAAGTAATTTTGTCCTAATGCACACGTCAAAGTTAAAGGGCTTAAATGGATTAAATTGCTTCAGTGCCAAATTAATGAAATGGCTTGTTTGCAGGCTGTTTGAATGACATTGAGTAATTGTTATGAATATGACTTGACTCAAATAACAGGTGAGACTTCTTTAGAGCTATTGTTTTGTTTTGTATTCATCTATCGGGACAGTACTGTGTGGACATAATTTACGCAGTGTTAAAATTGCAGATTATAGCAAAAAGTGCTACTTTCATAACATCAATAACAGCTACAAACACAAGCGGAACACATACACAGAAGAAGATTATTGAAATAACGTTGAAGAATGGCAGACTGACTATCCACTGCACCTTTGGTTATATTTTTGCTTTTCTCACATGCCTGACGACCATAAACGGGCATGGGTCCTGCTGTAGTTATAACGTGGATTTAGTAGATTTCTTGAAGCTGTTTTCGGAGAATGTCTGATGTCAAGACCTGCCCCAGAGAAGAACCCTTAATCCTCTGAGCTTTTGGCTTGAAAGAACGGGATATATGTTTCCCATAGGAGTGTCAAATCATTCACGTTTAAACATATGAGAAAGTATTTCACTTGTAACAAATTGTCCCCCTAAAAATATCTCACATTTATCATTATCTCGCACATACTTTTATTTATGGGACAGGGCTGTCACAAGTTTGGGTCTGTAAGAGGAATTTGAAGGCTAACACAAGTGATCTTTGCCCTTTGCTAAGCCGCCAGCTCGCTACACTAGGCTAAAGCTAAGATTAGCCCAGTCATTAAAATATTATATTCCAAAACCAATGGAAATACGGATTATGTTAAATAGGAACTGACAACTGGCCTGATTTTGGCGGATGTTGACCTCTGTTTAACCCATTCTCTGTAACCTATATGGAATGTGCTCATACCAGAAGTACAGTCATATAGAGTGAAGGACTCTAGTCTCCAGCAAAAACAGGTTGTGGGTTAGATTCTGTGTCGCCTTGGGTCTTCCCCCTGTCTCTTGATGGGTTTCCACCATGCTTTGGTTTCCACTCCCACTCAAAACATACACAGAATGTTTAATCCTTGAGCTATGATCGTCTTGACCAAGCCAACGCCTCAACATCTGGAGAAGGGTGAGCGACAGGTAAAATGCCAACAAAAAATGCTTGTACTTACAAAATGGATAATGTTGTGATGGAGGAAGTTTGTAAGATTGATTGAAGCATGGATGTCACGGTGGCCTCAAAATTACAGCGTCTTCCAAAGAAATCACAAGACTTTTCAGCACCCAACAAAAGAGCACATATAATGAGTAATTGACCTAATTATCAGACAACCACTATGGAGACACGGTTCTGCAAACAATTATGCAGAACCATTAAAGTGTATTATCAAACGGCTCCTCGCAGCAGCAGTAGAACACTCCATTGATTTGAATTTAATTTGTAAACGTTCTGCCGGTCAATATTTCTTGACAAATAACTTTACATGCTGGTACCCTCGGAGGGATGTTAGGCCACCGCTTCCTCCATTGCGTGTTTCTGAATGGGACAGTCTCAAAAAATTAGACAATCCATCATCAGCTCATATAGAGGGGATGTGTAAAAAGGAGTATCTATAAAGCAATCTCAATATAAAAAGCCAACGTAACCAAAACCGCCTCAAACTTTCTGTGAGAACTTGTATCACTTTTACTTCAATGAAAGCAGTGGAGCCGTGGAGGAGCTAACACTTTTGGCTCCTCTACTTACCTTCAGATCCGATTCAGATTCAGATTCAGTTTATTTGCCATTTGCAGTAAAAACACCACATTGGAATGCATTAGCAAAAGTCACCAGTGTGCACAGACAAATACAGAAATAAAACAACATTAAAAGACAAAGGATCTGTGGTGGAAGATAACATTTCAATTTGGAGAGACGAGAAACAAGAAGCTTTGAGTATTTTATTGGGAGGAGGTTTGGCGCCCTAGGCCCCGGTGCGGCCTTCGGATCGGAGGGCCTCCATGCGAAGGAGCGAGCCAATCCCCCGGGACCTAGGCACTGGTGGCGGCATTTGCAGCGGGAAGCAGATTGAAGGCAGAATGAAGGCAGGGTGAAGAGGAGGAGGAGGGGAGGCGGTGGTTGCAGGCTTCGAGAAGGCCGAGAATGGGAGTTCCTCCGCTTTTAAGCGGCTTGCCTGGCTGGACCGGTGATTGGAAGGGGCGTTTGCCGTGCGATAGGCTGGGGATGAGAACCGGCCTGGAGGGGTTACCTTTGGCTGACGTCTACCAAATTGAACTTTCGCTGGCTGCATTTTCCTTTGCATCCTTGTTTGGACCGGCGTGTGGCATGTTTTTACGTGTAGTATGTTCGGCACTCCTCTTTGTTGCCATTGTGTTCTTTATTGGCCTCTGACAGTCGTTCTCAAACACTCAAAGCTGTTATTGCACAACTACTTATATAAGTATGTATTTGGTTAATCTAGAATGTATAAATTATATATATTATCTTATTAGATATACTCATAGTCATAATTAACTATGCCAAATAAGAATACACACCAGTACGACTGTGCCAGGGCAGCTGTGGCTACAGCAGAATAAATACATGACTACACTGGAGTCCTGCACTACGGACGCAGAACCCTGACACCTCAACCCCACAGTATAGCATTACATACATGTATCTCTTTTATTGGAGACAAGAAGGAAACACCAAATCAAGCTCCAGGTCAGATTTGTGAAGCGTTGACTCGGGCCAATTTAATGAAGAACAGATACTAAGAAGTAGAGAAATAATATTGTTTTGAATTTTTGTCCATGAAATGTACATTTGACATTTGTTCAAAACTGGATACTACGGAAATCAACAATGTGAAACACATTAGCATGATAAAAAGATTCAGATTTAGAGCCAATGCTATAACCCCTAAACGCTGCAACTCTATTTTCCGCATGTCGGTCATGCCCACATGCGCTACATAATCCATGAAAAATAAAGACAGAGAATGTGCATTTAATAGGAAGGAAAACTTTATTCCTGAAGTTCAGTTTGACACGACACAGTGGTCCTCTGAGCAGGTTATTGCTGTGAATGACATTTATCATGACTCATGGTTCAGTGTAATGACAAATATCTGCGGTTGTCACGTTTAAGTTGGCCTGGGCCACACCACCTTTCAAGAGCAATCTCCCGTTCACATACACTGCCTTCTATAAAGTCCACGTGCGTTACCCTCTCACTCATTGATCAAGCAAAATATTATGAACCTATCACACACCACAGTTGTTGTTCATAATTTATAATCTCTGAAGTTGAACAGAATTATCAAAATCCAATCATGCTATTTTGGTTCTTAACTCAAGACAAAATGAACCTTTTTGAAATCCAATCATGTTTTCTGATCCAGCCCCAAATGCTGTAGTTGCCTCTTTGAGTCTGTTTCAATGTTATGAAAAAGCATTAGTTTGTATATTTAATTTATCAAAACCTAATTATTTCATGTTTTAACTTTTGTAACACGTAACCCTTAATTCTTTGCATGTGGTCCACTGGCACTTTCGATGAGAAAGTTATGCCATTTCCTCTTTCCGTAATGAAAAATGCTAAATATTTGACATAAATTGACCTTGTATCAGCAGAGTTCCAGCTCTGGTGCTTCCTGTGTGCCTATCGTGTTGGATTGGATCATCATTGATTTTCCAGACTATTTATAACCATGTACTGACCACTACAGTAACCTTATGACAGTGTACCCTGTACACAACAACTGTTTATTTATTTAGAATGAATAAAACATTTCTGATTTGAGGCGGGCAATGATGTTCATGTTCACGCTATTCATAGCAGTTATATTTACAAGGCTGTTTGAAAGGGAACATCTACCAACTGAACAATCTGTCTTGTATTCTGGTCCCAGCATGCCATTTTATGCATTTATCTCTTCCCATGCTTACCAGTTATAGTTGTTAATTTGAATAGGTGAACTTTTTACTTGAATAGGTGAACTTTTTTTCATATCGATCTCATTTTTGCTTTTCCAACAGAAGAGTCTTGTTAAAGTAAAAGGTTGGAAAACTTGTGAACCACACAGACCGCAACATTCTGTCTTAATCATATCAGAACATATTTAATCTGGAAGTCACGATCAAATGATGAGACAGACGCAAAACATATGTGCATGTCAAAACTAGTGAAATAACCAAATTATTCTAGAGGAAAATGTTTCATGGATTTCATCATTAAATGGTTTTGTGGTGTGAAAATTAGGTTCCCCAGCTGTAGCTTCAAAACATCCATAAACTCACTGTTATGTAAGCAGTTTCTATTCTACTGCATGGATAGGAATCAGCTACCTCTCACAACATACTTATCAATTGACCCAATATGACTCTGAGGTATGACATAGTAGTTAAGAGCACAGAATCCACTCCCTCCACCGCTGCCCCAGGCCAACCTTCAGTAATGGACACATATTTTTCAACTTAAGTCATCTTTATAATTGTAGTCAGTGCAATTCCAGCCACTGATAAAGGCACAAGTCACTGTGGAGCACCTCTGTCTGAGTAGAGTGTGTTTTATAGATATTTAGACATTTCTTTTTTTCAATAAATAACACAAATATTCATACATCATATATAGATAGATAAACATGTATAATCTACATGCATTTTTAATATAATTTAATTAACTTATATGTACATTTGCCCCCAAAATCCCCCTCGCATGAGTACTGGAGCATGTGGCAGTGGAATGTCATTTTCCATCCTCTGTATCCTTAATTTGACACTTGACAGGAGTTCAAATCCTACAGGAAGTCCAAAGTTTTGTCCCGGATAATTTACGTCCTGCGGCGCTTTCTAGATAACGCGCAAACGCATGAAGTGTCGATGCGGATCCAACGCCAGCCCACGGCGTTTCGAACTTGAGTCAAAGCTCGAACAAAAGTCTGCGTTGTCTTGCATTGTGAATTCCAGTTTTTGCTGTCAATCCCCCGGCAGCCTCCTTTTGACGGCCGTGGGCTCTGACAGCGCGTTTCGTAAAAGTATTGCTTGATATCCTCCCTGGCGTTGGTTCGTATTTTCGCCAGGACCGTTACAAGCGACCCCCTATCATCCACCGCTTCTGTCCGATCTGTCACCCAACGGCTCTGGCTGTCACAAACTGAGTACTCGCCTCTATAGCTGCGGTGCTCTGCGTACCTCTTCTTCCTGGTCCTGTTCCCGCCTTCGGACGTCCCGCTGGCAAAATCGTCCGAAATGTACAACGGAGGAGGCTGCAACGGCAGTCGATCGCTTAGCAAAACTCGCGGTGAGTGGTATCTTTTATGCTGGCGTAGGAGATCTGAGTGCACCATCATAACGTTTTGGTCCATAACATCGTCCCATTGCTCGTCCGCGCTCACAAGTGGTAGATTAGGGGGTAGCGGCGGTAACATATCCGGAACGTCGGGCATCTCTGGATCTCTGCCCTGCTCGTTCTGCTGCGGCTTGGATTTAACCCGTGTGAGGTCGGCCTGGAGCAGCTGGATGATGAGGGCGTTGAGGGGGTCTGGGCTGGGCTGCTGAGGCTGCTCCTGCTGCTGTCTTTTGCTGCTGCTGCTGTTGTGCTCCATGTTGTTCGCCTGGATGCCATAGAGGTACACGAGGACCATGACATAGAGCAGCATCGACATCACTAGATTCACCTGTAAGACCTGCACAGACAAGAAAAGGAAAGGGGAAAGTGTTAAGATCATATCATATTTCCATTTGTAGCCTTAACCTACTTACAAAAGTACCACAAATTATTTAAAAAAAGGATGTGGGGCATGACATTGAAGTGACTGAAAAGCAGGCCCCACAGCACAATGAGCTTTTAAAGATAGGTTTCTTTGAGAAAAAAAAAAATTATTAGGGGAAAATTTTATTCAGTTTTATCCCAGTTGATTTTCCCAACTGCACAGTATAATACATCAAATAAAAATAAAAATAATAATAATATATATATATATATATATATTTTTTTTTTTTTTTTAAATAAAAGGCTATAGTAGAAACAGAACAAATATTACAGCAGTGCAACACCTCCTAGTTGCCAAAGGCCAGAGTAAAAGATGAGTTTTTAATAAAGTCTTAAAAACATTTAAAGAAGCTGCGCTACGAATAGACAAAGGGAGGCTGTTCCAGAGTTTAGGAGCAGCTACAGAGAAGGTTCGGTCACCTCTCGTTTTCAGCCGTGATTTGGGTACGCTGAGCAGAAGCTGACCACTGGAGCTCGTCTGGAGGGAGTGTAAGGGGACAGCAACTCGGACAGGTAGGCTGGGGCCAGACCATAAAGACATTTCAAAACTTAACTACCAATCTGTGTATTACACCGGCCATCATAATTATATAGTAATAAAGACGACTTAAGAACATTAGAGGCTCCACCCTCACTCACTTTCAACATACTGCTGCTCGTTTTGAACCGTGGTGGACCCTCAAGCCCAACAAGGCCCTCTCTGCATAATCAGCAATTATAAATATTTTCACAAATATTTATCCAAACATTCCCCATGGTCTCTACTCTTCATCTCATAGTTTTCTTCCACGTGTCCTCATTTAATAGATGCAATCATTATTCAGCTAATACATAATGAAGACACCACCACCACGGTAAGAAAACAGAACATCAAAACTCACACGCAAGAATCAAACCCGTGAGCTTCTTGCTGTGAGGCCTGAGCTCCATCCACTCAGCCAATCTTCTAACTTCTAAGAATAAAAAAACATTATTCTTCAACTCTCTGTGGCTTCTTGCTCACTCATATTTCAGTACAACATTTGCAAATGAAAATAACTTTTCCACTGTGAGTCTATAAAGCACACTTGTAAATCTGTCCCTCTGTTTTCCTTCTCTTTCTGCTGCAGCCTCTCTCTGACAGTGATCAAGTGGAGGCCGGAGTATTCTCCCAGAGCTCTCAGCACAGACAGAGACCCTGATGAAAATGTCCTTTCTATGTATTTCTACTCATGTCTCAATATGATGTAACACATCTAATTGAAACCCACAATTTTGTGTCCTGCATATTTCAATAGTTGACAGAATCACCAGAAATAGTTCCTCTCTATTTACCAGTAGTTCTTAAGCTTTTCATTGATTTAAAGGAGGAGTTTCCACTTTTTTAACACAACTGTCTGGTCTTATTTGACAAACTTGTCACCAGAATGATTGAATCCGGAAGTAGACAATCTTCCTGTACATCCTTTATAGGGCTCACAGTGGGGAAATATCAGTGCTGCATCACAAGTTACAAAACAGTAAGAATGAGGAGCACACAGCACAAGATAAATGCATAATAACCCCTACTAAATACAATAAAAATAAAATCTCTAACTCTAGCACAAGAGGAAGTTGTATCCAATCTCTGTCTTAAGTATTATAAGGAAAGCAATTCACCTTTAACATGATGAAGAAGAAAGACATAAGTACAAACACTTAGTCATGCCAAGTATCTCCCACTTGACTCTTTGATAACAACAACAAATTGTACCAGAGACTCAAATTGTATAAGAAGGTCTAAATGATGCATAGAAACAAATAAACTATTTGAAAAAAAAAAAAACAGTTTTAGGACACTCTCGCTGTAACCTGCCCATTTGCACCTACACCAAGCAAAGCTGCTGGGACAAGCTTCAGGCATTTGTGGCATGCCAATAAATGTAAAGAAAGTATAATTATTTGATGAATCAGGACACAAGATTCATCTCTGACATTTACAAATTTTTCATCTCTGAGTCATTTCAGTTTCACCAGTCACAACATCTTACTCCAAACTCTTTACTGGCTCAAATGCAGATGATGTGTTGGCTCATGATTCATTGATGGGACGTTGCTTGTTGAAACTTGTTCAATACATTTACCGCTGATGCTTTCCAACAAATTGCTCCTTCTGTCTTTCTGAGGTCTTTCTGAGTAAAAGCTATGTAGCTAACACAAAGCTTTGAGATACTTGATATGTTTACAGCAAGGAACCTTCACTTACTTCAAATTGATGAACGTTCACACAACAGACAACCCCCTTTGACCGGCATAACTGCAATACATTTATATCGTAAAAATAGTTGCTAGTATCACATCGACCTCAAAAGGAAAAAAATAACACATTGTACAGCATTGATAGGAGCTAAAGTCACAAATAGTAGCTGTATTGGTAGTATTCATAAACAGCTGTGAGGCAGATGTGTGGAGCAGCAGGTTTTTAATCCCCACCGGAAGTGTGGGAGCCTCGGGGGAGTGTCTCTGTGTTTCCTACATGGTTTTAGTCTGCGCTGATAGGAAATATCACTAATGTCCTCAGTCATCTTCACAGCCATCAGCTGCGGCTTCCTGTCACTGCTACTGTCACGAGCTGTTTCTGCAATCCTTTATCTCCTTTCACTTATGACCTACTATCCTCTATCTCTGGTGACAAAGTTACATTTAATTAACACTAAACGTTACATTTAAAAAATAAACAAAATACTTTATAGTTTGTTTTATTGTGTGTTTATCATTTCTTGGATGGTTGTAAGTATTCACTTGTTCTGAGATGAAAAGGCAACGCACGCAACATAGAAAGTTCTGCTCGGCTCACACCTGTCACTCATGTCCACATGTCCATTCAGATAGAGGACTATATGGAGCTGCAAGTCCCGCCCCCATGGCGTCTGCACTGATTCTGGTATATCCCCTTATACTCTCACAGGAAAATGTTTATATTATGAGCTCCTACCACAGCACAGTTGTGTTCTGCCCAAAAGGCACAATTACCATGTACAATTCAGGAAAATCAGTTGCTAACTTATAGCTGGTTATTCTTAGTAATACAGTGGAAACTTAAATTTATGAAAAAAGAAAGAAAAAATAATTGATCAAAAATAAAATCAGCAGTCGTGCCAGTCTGCTGTTCTGCCAAATCTGAATCAAATTTATTTGCGAATTGAAGTAAAACCACATTGTAAAAACTGTGCAAGACTTTCCCAGTGTGCATCAGACACACACAAGAGCTTGCTCTGGTGCCATGTCCTGGTGCCATGTCCCGGTGCCATGTCCCGGCGCCATGTCCCGGCGCCATGTTAGGGTCATGCTTGGGTCAACTAGTGAGAACTTTGTTTTATAAATTCTATAACGCCTCAATGACTCTCTGAACTCTGTGGTCCTGGTGAAGCCCATAACTTGTGCTGCAAGGTACAGATATCCTTTATGGAAACACTACAGCTGCCTATTTGCTCTCTATGTTATTATGAGTCTTGTCTTTTCGTTTGTTTTTTGTTCACTTCTAAAAAAAAATTCTATAATAAAAATCACAGGGTTAAGGATACAGAAAATATGCAAATACATCACCCTTCTCCACTCAAGGATAGTGAACTATTTAATGCTTGATTGTGTTAGCGACCGTGGCCATGAGGTTTATAGACAGATTACTACAATACTGTTGAAGTGGATGTGACCCTGATGTCTGTCCACAAGTGAAGGTGACAGTTATACTTTAATACCTGGAGAGTGGAGCTGGCGAACATGAGACAGGCTGTTCTAATGCTTTGGTCTGACGGAGCAGAGACAAACATCTGGTCATCACTGTAACCTTCAGACTCTTACACAACTGATATGAGATTCTGTCATGGTGTTATATGCAACAGAATAACACACTCTGCCTGAAAACATCTATTTACATTACTGCACATTTGAAACATGTGTAGAGCATTTGTCTCTCCTAAGAACCATATGGGGTTGGGCAAGAATGTGGAAACAAACAAAGACTTTTCAATGTGGTTCCAAATGAAATACATCCAATCAAACACACGCAAATAGTTATGGTTAGATTTTTAGCTGAAATAATGAGCTGTGGCAATTTTGAACTGTGGAACTTCCAAGTAGAAAAAATATCAAATATCAGCCAAACACTGATATTGGATCCAACATTTCTCCTCCAACCTGTTTGAACAATGACTCACAGCCTCTCAAAGGTATTCCCTCTCATGAGAAACGAAAACGACATACATTAGTCACCCCAGCATTACCTCAATTACCTCGGCAGTATTGATACAAATACAATATTAATGTGTTTTTGTCAACAGTGTCAAACTCAAATGATATACATATATTTAAAGGGGATGTATGTAACATCAATTGTGTTTCAAAGAATGATCATCATGACATAATTACATTTATCACACGGCTCCTCACAGCAGCAGCAGAACGCTCCATTGATGTGAATGCAATTTCAAAACGTTCTACCGGTCATTATTTCTTATTATTATATGACTTGGACCGTACGCGCGCTCTGATTGGCTGATTACCGGTCTGATATTTTCCCATCTCGGACCGTTACCATGACAATTGGTCCGAACAGCGCGTATCACATTTGATATCTTTCCACGGACCGTTACCATGACAATCTGTCTGCAGCGCGTATCACACAAAACCAAGTCGGGCATGAACATACTTCACAAATATCTCAAAAGCATTGGTAAAGACACAGACGAGAGTCATATAATAAAACAGTTATTAACCTTGCTTGCTCGGTTAATAAGCCGTTATAGCGGACCTCTCAAAAAAATAATGACCGCTGCCCATGGCAACGCACTCACTGGTTGTAATTCATGTGTGTAGATTGCTCCGCAAGTCATTCCGGCCACTCCGGAGCTAGCCACGCTCAATAAACGC